TGAAAAGAAAATTAAACATGTGTTGAAAACCCCCATCACGGGGGTCACGCTGGTTAATAAAACTCATTGAAAAACCGGTAAAATCCAGTGTAGGAGGTGATGCAGGATGGAGCATTAACTGTAAATTTTCCCATAAACGAATTAAGGTATGCTTTTTTTTGTTTTGAAAAGTTGTTTGAACTTGGGAAACACATTTTATAATAAAGTATTACATTTTTAGTTATAATAAAATAAAAATAACACTTTTTTTTAAAGAGACAACAGGATAATTAAATTAAATTTTTTCATATGGGCGACGTTCCAGCTTTACTGTGAAGAAAAGACCTCACATGCCGTTCCGTGCATTATTTCAGGCACACAAACGGCACCTGAGTAGAACCCCGATGTTTTCGTAAGCTCAGCTGGATAGCTTCCTAAACATGAAAATAATCCATTCGGGATTCGAAAACCACAGCGGTGAGGGGGCAAGTGATTTGAAGTCAACGACCTTAACCACTCGGCCCCTGGTTGCCCCATATAGTTTTCAGGGTGTAACATTAAATCAAGGAGAGAAATCTAGCTGCAATTTGTGTGCAGGCCAGTCTGTTAGTGTTATCATTGGCTGCACTGAGACATATTCAACTTGTTTGATGTTGTAAATATGAATGATTGATTTATTTTGTTATGTTGAATTTTTTAACTGACACTTCAAACAATATACAATGTACACTCTATACCCTATATATTAATAATATTATTATTTTTCATTGCTAGCTGGGGAACTTGAACATAAAATGTTTATTTACACCATGCCACACAGCGGGGCATATCTGTTACTATGTTACTGGAAATAAAGCCGACCCAGCTGTCTTCACAGGTAAGAGTTACCATCAAACCTGGTTATTATACTATAAAATATATTATGAAACTTGTTTTGTAACAACAGTTTTGCAATTGTGAATTTACAATTTATAATCAATTAGTCAAAACCACTTGCCCCTCACTGCTGTGGATTCAAATCCCCACTGGGACTTTGTATTCTTTCAAGTGAGGAAGCTATCTAGCTAGCTTTGGTGGTTCTACTCGGATGCCGATTCATGCCAAAAAATACATGTAAAAGTCTTCCTCTACCAGTAAAGCTGAAAAGGCGCCATAATTATGACCTATACTTTGTTGGTGCGACATTAAAAATCCAACCAAAAAAAATTAGCAAAATGTACAATTTATCAAAACGCTTGAAATTTTCTTCTCAATAATTTTAGGAAGAAAGAAATGCTTTTTAGGATTGAATATACACAGGAATAAATATTTACATTGAATATCATATTAAGTGTTTTCAATGAAAAATGCATTAACTGTTTACATTGAATATCATATTAAGTGTTTTTAATGAAAAATGCATTAACTGTTTACATTGAATATCATATTAAGTGTTTTTAATGAATAAATGCATTAACTGTTTACATTGAATATCATATTAAGTGTTTTTAATGAATAATGCATTTACTGTTTATATTGAATATTACTTTAAGTGTTTATTCTGAAAACACACACATTTATTACACCAAGCTTTCTTATATACATGTTCTATACATCAAATTTAATTAGCTTGTCACATTTGGGCCTCCATTTGTCAGTTGATTTAGAGAGATAAAGTTGAGATATTAATGATCCCATCATGAAATTTAAATACTTGCATGTAAAGAAGCTAAGTCTTTAATTAATATAAGGTTGATGGTCCTACTCAGGTATGATAATGTTGAAGTAATGCAGGTAGGTGTGCCTAAAGTCTGTGTTTTACCACTTAATCTGAAAAATGTCAATCTTTATATGATAATCTACAATAAAAAAAGAATAGAAATGAATGATATATACTTCAATTGTATCTTTGTTAAAGGTAAGGTGTTGTTTAACCAATAGCTAGCAGTTTATTTGTAAAGAGTATTTATGACATGTTAATGATGATTATTTTTATGATAGGTGATACATTATTTAGCGGAGGTTGTGGAAGATTTTTTGAAGGTACACCTCCACAGATGTATTCAGCACTGATTGAAATCCTTTCTTCCTTGCCTGGTGAAACTGTAAGTCTATTATAGATCTACAAAACTGTTGTAGACTCATCGAAAAACTATTTCATCATTTTCTTTTTCTCTGTAATATAGACAGATAACATGGTTGACATTTAAGTTGGAATTTGAAGTGTATGTATTTCCCAAAATTGGAAATACATCCACTTCAGTATTTGTTAATCAACCTCAGTATCTGTAATTCAACCTCAGTATCTGTTAGTCAACCTAAGTATTTGTAAGTTAACCTCTGTTTCTGTTAGTCAACCTCAGTTTCTGTTAGTCAACCTCAGTTTCTGTTAGTCAACCTCAGTATCTGTTAGTCAACCTCAGTTTTTGTTAGTCAACCTCAGTATCTGTTAGTCAACCTCAGTACCTATAAGTCAACCTCAGTATCTGTTAGTCAACCTCAGTATCTGTTAGTCAACCTCAGTATCTGTTAGTCAACCTCAGTTTCTGTTAGTCAACCTCAGTTTCTGTTAGTCAACCTCAGTATCTGTTAGTCAACCTCAGTATCTGTTAGTCAACCTCAGTATCTGTTAGTCAACCTCAGTATCTGTTAGTCAACCTCAGTATCTGTTAGTCAACCTCAGTTTCTGTTAGTCAACCTCAACCTCAGTTTCTGTTAGTCAACTTCAGTATCTGTTAGTCAACCTCAGTTTTTGTTAGTCAACCTCAGTATCTGTTAGTCAACCTCAGTACTATTAGTCAACCTCAGTTTTTGTTAGTCAACCTCAGTATCTGTTAGTCAACCTCAGTACCTGTAAGTCAACCTCAGTTTCTGTTAGTCAACCTCAGTATCTGTTAGTCAACCTCAGTTTCTGTTAGTCACCTCAGTATCTGTTAGTCAACCTCAGTTTCTGTTAGTCAACCTCAGTTTCTGTTAGTCAACCTCAGTTTCTGTTAGTCAACCTCAGTATTTGTAAGTTAACCTCTGTTTTGTTAGTCAACCTCAGTTTCTGTTAGTCAACCTCAGTATCTGTTAGTCAACCTCAGTATCTGTTAGTCAACCTCATTTTCTGTTAGTCAACCTCAGTTTCTCGTTAGTCAACCTCAGTATCTGTTAGTCAACCTCAGTTTTTGTTAGTCAACCTCAGTATCTGTTAGTCAATCTTAGTATCTGTTAGTCAACCTCATTATTTGTTAGTCAACTTCAGTTTCTGTTAGTCAACCTCAGTTTCTGTTAGTTAACCTCAGTATATGTTAGTCAACCTCAGTTTTTGTTAGTCAACCTCAGTTTCTGTTAGTCAACCTCAGTTTCTGTTAGTCAACCTCAGTATCTGTTAGTCAACCTCAGTTTCTGTTAGTCAACTTCAGTATCTGTTAGTCAACCTCAGTTTCTGTTAGTCAACCTCAGTATCTGTTAGTCAACCTCAGTTTTTGTTAGTCAACCTCAGTTTCTGTTATTCAACCTCAGTTTCTGTTAGTCAACCTCAGTATCTGTTAGTCAACTTCAGTATCTATTAGTCAACTTCAGTATCTGTTAGTCAACTTCAATATCTGTTAGTCAACTTCAGTATCTGTTAGTCAACTTCAGTATCTGTCAGTCAACTACAGTATCTGTTAGTCAACCTCAGTATCTGTTAGTCAACCTCAGTTTCTGTTAGTCAACTTCAGTATCTATTAGTCAACTTCAGTATCTGTTAGTCAACTTCAGTATCTGTTAGTCAACCTCAGTATCTGTTAGTCAATATCAGTATCTGTTAGTCAACTTCAATATCTGTTAGTCAACTTCAATATCTGTGTTGTGGAATGATGAAGCAGTTGGTAGCAATTTCTGTCTCTATTCAGTTTAATATCAGAAGCTGTTAGATAAGCAGTAGCACTCAGTGATCCAGTCATACGAGTACTTAAAATAAAACCATTAACCTGGTAATAGTCTGTGGTAATAACTGGCTTGATTCGTAATGAATACTGTTTGTAAACAGAATAGAATGTTTAGGAACTAAACATTGTGCTTTATTTTAAGTAGGGTTCCTACTGTTCAACAATGTACATGCACCATTTGCTCTGAAGGAAAGATATAAACATGTTTTGTTCATACTGTTATTTAGAAAGTATTCTTTCTCTAAATTCAAATAACAATTCTTTTGCAGATATATTGCTTTATACACTTAAATTTTTTTTAGCTCACCTGTCACTTAGTGACAGGGTGAGCTTTTGTGATCGCTTTTCGTCCGGCGTCCGTCCGTCCGTCGTCCGTCCGTCGTCCGTAAACTTTAACTTTAAATGACATCTCCTCATAAACCACTGAGCCAATTTCATCCAAACTTCACAGGAATGTTCCTTTGGTGGTCACCTTTAAAAATTGTTCAAAGAATTTAATTCCATGCAGAACTCTGGTTGCCATGGCAACCAAAAGAAAAAAACTTTAAATATCATCTTCTAAAAAACCAAAAGAGCATGAGCTTAGATATTTGGCATGAAACATCTTCTAGTGAGTGTCTACCAAGTTTGTTCAAATAAAAGCCCTGGGGTCAAAATTGGCCCCGCCCCAGGGGGTCATTGATTTTCCCTATATGTATATAGTAAAAACTTTAAAAATCTTCTTTTAAAGAACCCAAAGAGCTAGAGCTAAGATATTTAGCATGAAACATCTTCTAATGGGTGTCTACCAAGTTTGTTCAAATAAAAGCCCTTGGGTTAAAATTGGCCCCGCCCCAGGGGGTCATTGATTTTTCCTATATGCATATAGTAAAAACTTAAAAATCTTCTTTTAAAGAACCCAAAGAGCTAGAGCTAAGATATTTAGCATGAAACATGTTCTAATGGATGTCTACCAAGTTTGTTCAAATAAGAGCCCTTGGGTCAAAATTGGCCCCGCCCCAGGGGGTCATTAATTTTTCCTATATGAATATAGTAAAAACTTAAAAAATCTTCTTTTAAAGAACCCAAAGAGCTAGAGCTAAGATATTTAGCATGAAACATGTTCTAATGGATATCTACCAAGTTTGTTCAAATAAGAGCCCTTGGGTCAAAATTGGCCCCGCCCCAGGGGGTCATTGATTTTCCCTATATGAATATAGTAAAAACTTAAAAATCTTCTTTTAAAGAACCCAAAGAGCTAGAGCTAAGATATTTAGCATGAAACATGTTCTAATGGATGTCTACCAAGTTTGTTCAAATAAGAGCCCTGGGGTCAAAATTGGCCCCGCCCCGGGGGGACATTGATTTTCCTTATATGTGTTTAGCAAAACTTAAAAATCTTCTTGGAAATAACTCGAATAGCTAGAGTTTAGATATTAAGCATGAAAGTGTCATCTTCTAGTAAGTGTCTACAAAGATTGTTCAAATAAAAGCCCTTGGGTCAAAACTGGCCCTGCCCCAGGAGTGTCATTGTTTTTAAATAATAGTATATGTGTAAAGAAAAAACTTAAATTTTTTTTTTTTTTAAAAACCCAACAAGCTAGACCTTAGATGTTTAGCATGAAACATCTTCTAATGGGTGTCTACAAAGTTTATTCAAATAAAAGCCCTGGTGTTTAAACTTGCCTCGCTGAGGGGGGCCTATATACAGGTGAGCGACTTCAGGGCCATCATGGCCCTCTTGTTTAAAAATTTGCAGGCTTGAAAATAGAAAGGTGTACAGTTTTATTTTAAGGATGTATAATTAAAGATGTAAGATAAAAATTGTAAGAATAGATATTTAGCTGCAAACATACTTTAAAGATGTGCAAGCTCTCAAGGTTCTTTACTAATGAAATAGGTTTATATTGTTTCCTTCCAGTGTTCATTTAGATGATGTAAGATAAACCAATGGTTCTGTGACATCAGAGGGCTTCATTAGCTGAGTGGTTAAGGAAGCTCAGTTTGAATTGCTTGTCCTCGCTTCTGTGGGTTTGAATTCCCTCAGCAATATTGTTTTATGTGAGGAGGTAATCAAGGTATAGAATTGTGTGAAAACATGCATGTACTAAAGTGTAGTATTAAAGCAGCAGTGTTGTCTGCTTGTCATATGACATTTATACCACAGTGGTGGTTTGATGTAAAAAAAAACCAACAAATATGACTTAACAGGTATATTGCAGATCTACTAGATTTTTTGTTGAATTCAACAACTACGAATAATCTAGCTGTAATGCATATTTTGTAATATTTCAGCGAGTGTTTTGTGGACATGAATACACTACTGCTAACCTGAAATTTGCTATACATACTGAACCAGACAATGTTGATATACAAAATAAGATCAAATCAGCTCAGGTGAGAGACCAGATTACCTATTATATAAAATTCTTTAAAGGCCCATATCCAAGAAATGCTTTTAATATTATTTCTCAAAAGATTCTTTTTTGGTGCCTTGTTATAATTTCGAAGAAGATACTTAATGGTTTTCAAATGTACCTGAACGTCTTTGGTTCTGTTGGTTTTTGGCAGTTAGTATAGTTATAGGGATTTTGTATGGAAGTCAAAATACTACTTACTTTACATTTTTTTACTTTTATGACATACATTTTCAGGTTCATTGCTACATTCTTCCGGTAATAAGCAGTTAACATATTTTTTAACCATTATTTAAACATTATACTCATTTTTGCCCTTTCAAACGAAGGAAAATTTTATTAGTTTCTAAGGCATAATGTGCCATTAAAAAATTCTTAGAAGCATTAATTTTAATTCAAGCTCTTATAGCTTACAATTATCATTCTTGAATCTGCTTCAGGTAGTAATTTGTACTTGTGTCATATCAAGAAACATGGCTGTGGTCTTGTAAGAGCTTGAGGTTATGATACATGGGCTTAGATACATACATCTTAGTCATTATGCCAATGATGTAATGTTATCTGATTAAAATCAGCTCCTAAATAATGCTACATGTAATACATAAAATAAAAGAAAATCTGAACTTTTGTACACTGTCCTCTTCACTTGTTTGTGTTTAATAGTTACATAAGCTTGAAAAGTATGATTGATTTCAATTGTATAGTAAATATTTTATATGATATTTGTACTCATATTTGAACCGCCTCCGTGGTCGAGGGGTTAGAGGCTATGACTTCTAATCCAGTTACCTCTCTGGCGTGGGTTCGATCCCCGGGAGATGCTTTGGTAGTTTAGCACGGAGGAAGGTAGTCTAGTACTGCTGTAACTCTCCAGGAACGATGGTTAGGAAACTACCCGCCTACAGAGACATAGATAACAGAGATAAGCAGCTCCTATATACTCCATTGAAATATCACTCATGCCTAAAAAAAGTGGAAAATTAGGCATTTGGTAGCAAATAAAACTTAATGAATGTACATTTGATCCTTTAATATTATATACCATTTGAAAGGTAAATCTTTCATCTATGGCTGCATGTTAAAATATTGGTAACTTTCCATGCCTTTCATTTAGAAAAAACATGGCAGAAATACCCATTGAGCCAGTTTTTTTGTCATATGAACAATTTTGTAACAAAAAAATATTAAGTAGTTCTCTTTAAAAAATGATACAACATTTATTTAAATGGGAACTGTAAATATTTTTACCTGCAGCCATAGATAAATGCATAAGCTTTCAGAAAATGTATTATTTTACTGATTTTGATATCTGGTTAATAAGTTTTACTTGCTACAAGTTTTAAGTTTAGTAGGCACGCGTGATATTTTAACTGGCTAGGAAGTAGCCTATCTCTGTTATCTATGTCTCTGCCGCCTATATGACGGAAATACTGTTGGGAAAAGGCGTAAAATGAAACAAACAAACAAAGTATTCATATTTGTAATATAAGATGTCATAAGGAGAAATTGCGTCCAATTTAGGATGAATAATTTCTTATTTTCTTAATAAAGTTGACAAAGATTATAATCATAAAAAATTAACATCACAGACGTAGAAGTCAAAGTGCTATATAAGTGTTAGTTTACTATACAGTTTTGAGAAAAGTTGAGCGTGCATCTCCTCAAACAGCTTTAGTTTTAAACTGCTATGAATTGTTGTATCATATTTAGTTTATATAAATTTATTTTACTTTGTTGGAAGCTATAAGCTCATTGAATCACTCTCAAATCCGTTCCTGGAACCAACCAATACTAAGCAATGAAAGTAGAGTTTCTTGCTCAAGAAAATAATTGCTTGCCCCTGACAGGGTTGGAATCCACACAGTCAGCAATCTTTAGATTACTAGTCTGACGCGTCAACCACTCGGCCACGCCGATTAACTTTCATATTTATTTACTTGTCATATTTAAAAACCTCATTCTTGTTGTATCTTTAAAACTATTATGTTGGATGATTAAAAACTTAAAGTCTGTTTTAATCATTATTGAGTCTGCTTCTTGGAACTGACTAGTACTAGTGTCAAATTAGAGGTTTTTGTAATTTCAGTAGGACTTGACCCTGAGAAACAGATATAGTAACCTATATAGAGGATATTTAAATTCTTTCTATAAATACATGATTTATTTTCATTTGGTGATATGAAAAATATTACATTAGTGGCTACCGCCATGATTGAAATATGATAATTTTCATACCAAAAGATAAAAATAAATCCTGTATTTATAAAAAAAACTCTGTTTTCTGTTTACTATATATTTTTTTACAGTGAAAAAACAGAAAATGAAAATATACATTTTATTTCATCAATGTTTCACAATATTTCATTTATAAGTATATAATAATAAGATGTAAAAAAGTTGAAATTATTATAACATTGAAAAAAAAAAGATATTTAAGTAAAGTTCAATTACTTTTATATTTTTATTACTGGTTGGAGAGATAACTCCGACACTAAATCACACATTTTTTGCAATATCTTAATCATCTTCCTGTATATTTTAAATATTGAACCATCTAAACAAAGTTCAGTTCAAAGTCTTTACTTTATACTACAAAAATTATGTATGAAAATGGAATCTGGTACTTCTTTAAGTTTCTGAAAGAGGTATACAAAAATGGTATTTTTACCCCACAGCAGTAGATAAAGTCGACACTTAATTTTTTAAGTAAAAATGACTGGAAAATCTGCATCAATAATTTATTTTTACATTTTATATGTTTTATCTAGTTTTTGTGAATATTTAAACAATTTTTCAAAAATCTTTCCCAAGCCAGTGGCCTGTGGTCAATACAATTCTAACTATCTTATTGTAATTTAGTAAAAAGAACGTTTTGAAGCAGTTTTGCCTATGAAAAGTCTAGGTTATTTTAAAAACATAACAAAGTTTACCAAATTATAAAAAAAATCATCCTATTCTGCTCCAATACTTTTAGGTGACCATGTTCTTATTTGTTGAAAAACAAAGTTATAACAAATATATTTATCAAGTGTCGGGGTTATCTATGCGTCGGAGTTATCTCTCCAACTAGTATGCAGATTACAGTTAAGCTTATCAAACTGTTAGATTTTTGACGTATCAGATCTTTATTATATTGTTTATTCAGAATCTGAGAGACAATAGTCTACCAACTATACCTTCAACAATTGATGAGGAGAAGAAAATTAATCCTTTTATGAGAGTTCAGTAAGTACATGTACTGATACTCTTCTGATAAATTTGAGCCGCGTTATGACAAAACCAACATAATGGGTTTGCGACCAGCATGGATCCAGACAAGCCTGCGCATCCGTGCAGTCTGATCAGGATCCATGCTGTTTGCTTACAAACCCTATAACAAGTAGAGAAACTGATAGCGAACAGCATGGATCCTGATCAGACTGCGCGGATGCACATGCTGGTCTGGATCCATGCTGGTCGCAAACCCATTTTGTTAGCTCGACTATTCGAAGAATATGAGAGCTATTCTAGTCGCGTCGGCGTCAGCGTCCGCGTCGGCGTCTGCGTTGGTTAAAGTTTTTTGTAAAGTCAAATATCTCAATTATTGCTTGAGATATTCAATTGAAACTTACAATACTTATTTATAGTAACAAGGTACATCACATTGACAAGTTGGATAACTCTGCCTACAATATTGACAGAATTATGCCCCTTTTTAACTTAGAAATTTTGGTTAAAGTTTTTTGTAAAGTCAAATATCTCAATTATTGCTTGAGATATTCAATTGAAACTTACAATACTTATTTATAGTAACAAGGTACATCAGATTGACAAGTTGGATAACTCTGCCTACAATATTGACAGAATTATACCCCTTTGGAACTTAGAAATTTTGGTTAAAGTTTTTTTTTGTAAAGTCAAATATCTTAATTATTGCTTGAGATATTCAATTGAAATTTAAAAATACTCTTTATAGTAACAATGTATATCAGTTTGCAAAATTGCATAACTCTGCCTGCAATATTTGCAGAATTATTTTGCCCCTTTGAAACTTAGAAATTTTGGTTAAAGGTTAAAGGTCTTCAAAGATATTTACTTGAAACTTTACACATGCCATAGGGTCATAATTGGAGGGTCATAATTGTATGTCACTGACGCAAGTCCCATAACTCTATCTTGCATTAAGGCTGATTCATATCCCTTTTCTACTTAGTCTCTTGGTTAATGTTAACATGATAGTTTTACATATCTCAATAACTATTAAAGAATATATTTATTTAAAAACTTCACATATGCATTTAGGGTCATAATTTGTAGGCACTGACAAAGATCCATAATTCTATCTTGCATTTAGGCTGATTTTTCTCCGGGATTTTTCAACTTAAAAATTCATGGTAAAGTTTTGCTTGTAAGCTGTTATCTCAATAACTACTGAAGGGTTTGTACCTTTTTTGGGACAATTTTATGCATTCATAATAATAAAGCAGTGATTAACTTGATAAAACATCTTAATAACAAGCCTTTGTACCTTTTCTGTCAAATTTATGTATTCATAGGTAATTAGTTATTATTTTACTCAATTAAACACCCTTGTGACATTACCTTCCGAATAGTCAAGCCAATACTGTATAAATAGACTCTCTCTAAGGCTATAACATGAATTTATGAAAAAAAATTAGCTCTTTTGTGAACTTAAAAAATTTAACATTATAAAGGCTCTTTTACTATCAAGCACTTAGAATAGTCGAGCGTGCTGTTCTACTGACAGCTCTTGTTGGTTTTGTCATGAAGCGGCTCATTTATAGACAATGACAGAAGAACTTAAACACTGACCTAGAAAGAAACAAAAAAGTCTAGGAAACCAAAACACTTTTAAAGTAAATGGTAACATGTTGATGTATGTTATCTTGTGTAAGTAGATAATTATGTTTCTTATATGAAATAAAAAATTGTCATAATATTATGTGTAACTATCTTTTACTAGAACCTTAAAATAGATATTTCGAAAATAATTGAAAAATCTTTATCTATGAATCTACAAGACATTGGGCTTATATGTTTTATAATGATGCAAATAAAGTTCCTGAATGTTTGATTGCGGACATCCAGGAAAAAAAAGAGAGAAAATAATCAAACTATGATGAGGGATGTGGTGTTGCCATTGTTGTGCAAAAACTTTTTGTTGCCCATTATTCAAACAATATTAAAGGTATCCAAGTATCACTTTGTCATAAGTACAGTAGAATTTTTCTGAAACCAAATACCAGCAAACTTTGACATTTAAACTTGTAAATTAACATTAACATAATTTTATCACTTTAATAGGAACAATAAAAAATGATGTCTGATACAAGTCATTGAACGCAAGTTTTTATTCAGTTAAAGGATTTAAAACAGTACATTGTATTTTTCTGAAATAAATGTACAACATACAGTAACTTGATTATTTTGTTAAGACATGAATAATACAATGTTCTGTGGGGAACCCACTGTTAGCTTTATATATCTTTCAGCATCTCAACTCATATTTATCTACCTCTGGCATATTTTTCAATATATCAAGCCATCATATCTTACATGGCATATAGTCAAGAGGGCCACTACAAATTATTATGGCCTTTAGGTCAGAATTTACCAACCCTTTGGTCACGTTTGATACATAGACTTAGATTGACACTTGTTATGGAAAGAACTTTCAAAATTGTCTTTCAAAATCATTACAACTTTAACAATATGTTTTAATATGATACATTAGTGAATGCCTCTAGCATGGCCTTGTCACATCTATGAAAGCCTGAATGGGGCTAGGAAGGATAAAGACTGTTGTTTTTTTATTCACACTAAGTTTATTTTGTTATGATTGCTTACCAACATATGGCCAAACAATTATGTATTAATGGATTTAAAGCTGCACACCTCCAGATGAAGCAAATTATTTTAAAGACAATCAAACTTGAAAAAAAAGTTGAGATTTTAAGAAAAGTAAATAGATAAAAAGTAATAATTTCCATGTTATTGCAAAAAATTAACTGATTTTGCTGTATTTTTTACTATATTTCTACTGCGTTACTAATACGGTAAGGGCTATTTTTGCATATTTTGACCTCATTTTGGTTATTAACATGGGTTGTAAATGCTGTTTGCAATGTGAAAATTATTAGCTCACCTGTCACAAAGTGACAGGGTGAGCTTTTGTGATCGCTTTTCATCCGGCGTCCGTCCGTCCGGCGTCCGTCCGTCGTCCGTCCGTAAACTTTTACTTTAAATGACATCTCCTCATAAACCACTAAGCCAATTTCATCCAAACTTCACAGGAATGTTCCTTTGGTGGTCACCTTTAAAAATTGTTCAAAGAATTTAATTCCATGCAGAACTCTGGTTGCCATGGCAACCGAAAGAAAAAACTTTAAATATCTTCTTTTAAGAAAACATAAGAGCTAGAGCTTAGATATTTTGGCATGAAACATCTTCTAGTGAGTGTCTACAAAGTTTGTTCAAGTAAAAGCCCTGGGGTCAAAATTGGCCCCGCCCCGGGGTCATTGATTTTCCCTAAATGCATATAGTAAAAACTTAAAAAATCTTCTTTTAAAGAACCCAAAGAGCTAGAGCTAAGATATTTAGCATGAAATATGTTCTAATGGGTGTCTACCAAGTTTGTTCAAAAAAAGCCCTGGGGTCAAAATTGGCCCCGCCCCGGGGGTCATTGATTTTCCCTATATGCATATAGTAAAAACTTAAAAAATCTTCTTTTTAAAGAACTCAAAGAGCTATGGCTAAGATATTGAGCATCAAACATGTTCTAATAGGTGTCTACCAAGTTTGTTCAAATAAAAAGCACTGGGTCAAAATTGGCACCACCCCGGGGGTCATTGATTTCCTTATATGTGTATAGCAAAAAACTTAAAAAATCTTCTTTGAAAAAACCAAATAGCTAGAGTTAAGCTATTAAGCATGAAACATCTTTTAGTGAGTGTCTACAAAGTTTTGTTCAAATATAAGACCTGGGGTCAAAATTGGTCCCGCCCCGGGGGTCATTGATTTTCTTTATATGTGTATAGCAAAAACTTAAAATCTTCTTTGAAAAAACCCAAATAGCTAGAGTTTAGATATTAAGCATGAAACATCTTCTAGTAAGTGTCTACAAAGTTTGTTCAAATAAAAGCCCTGGCCCGGCCCCAGGGGTGTCATTGTTTTTAACTATATGTGTATAGTAAAAACTTAAAAAAAATCTTCTTTTAAAAAGCCCAATGAGCTAGAGCTTAGATGTTTAGCATGAAACATCTTCTTATGGGTGTCTACCAAGTTCGTGCAAATTAAAGCCCTTGGGTTAAATTGGCCCTGCAACATTGGGGGGGGGGGGGGGGGGGTTGGGGGGGGCCTATTTACAGGTGAGCGACCTCAGGGCCATCATGGCCCTCTTGTTTTTCTTTGTTCATTTCACAATATCCTACTTTTTAATACACTTTCAAAATGTTCATGAAAATTAGCATGAATCTGGAGGCAGGCTGCTTTAATGAATATCCACATATTTGGGTTTTCATACAATTATAAGTTATATATATACTTATGTATGCAAGTCAGATAATTTACAGTCCTATATGAACAAAACATGTATATGATAACAATGATTTAGTAACTATGTAAAGGGAGCACTGGCATTTTATTTAAATAATACTAAGTCATTCTAGTACTATGTACAGTAACTATTTTTGATATCTTAGTTGAAATTCAAGTAACTATTTTACCAGTTCTATAGAATAAAATTATACTGTTATTTATAATCATCATTGAAAAAAAAACCTTATCTAAATGCAGGAAAAAACGTGTTTAAATACCAAATTACCAATGTTTAAATTATCAAAAAAAAGCAGAAAAAAAAAGAAAAACATCTATTCCATAAACTGGTAATTTAACAAAGCAGTGGTCAGGTATTTGTAATGTAGCATGGTTTAAGGTGTGTAGATTGTCTAGTGGGCAAATTTCTATCAATCATGCCCATATAACAAAAAAAACCTATTTCAATATTTGCTACTTAAACATTAAAGAGAAAAGACTTCTTAAAATCTTGGAAATTAAAAAGCCCTGTGTTTACTAATTAAGTATGTAACATGGTCTAGTAGGTTTCTATACAAAAAATAAATAATTTATGGCCTTTGATTCAAAAATTGCTTTTTGGATTTTTTCATCGACTTTTCTATTCATTAAAGCCAGTGAAACAGTTTGGTCTGTTAGAACACATTTTGATTGATCAATATTGGTCCCAGTGTCAATGTGTTATTTCATATGAAGTAACCTGACATAAAAAGTTTATTTTATTCACTTTAGAAACATATGTAATGTAACTACCTGCAGATATATCACTTAGAATATTTTCTAAAGAAACACATAGAGGATATTTGTTTGTTTTGCATGTAAGATTGAAATATAATTTCACTGAGTGAACACCAGATGCAATATTTTCACGAGTGGTGGCGCCACGAGTGAAAATATAATAGCTGGTGTTCACGAATGAAATATATTTCAATCTTATATGTAAAACAAATAAATTTTCTTTTTATTTCATGCTTTTTTAAGTGATTTTAAGTATTTTTTACTGATTTTGCTGCGTAACGTCGCGTATTCTCCTTTGTGACGTCATCACATCATTACGTCACATCATAAATTTTGAAACATAGGCCTGTTAAATTTCTGTAATTGTGCTACATTTTTAACATGATGTATTATGACATCGACTTCCTTTTCTTAATGAAGCAAAATTTACGCATGACGGCATTTATTTCTGCCTGTTATTCCATGTAGTTTTGATTTTCTTTTCATCTGCATTCAGATATAGTCCGGCTACAGTGAAAATTATATTTTATAAATTTCACTAGTGGTTTATCAGAATATAATCATCTGATATATTACAATAAAACACTGGAAAGCATGAAATAAAGATATTTATCTTAAGTAATCCTTAAAGATATAATCCATTGATAGACAGGAACACAAAAAAGGCCACTGCTCTCTAATCATAATTTTATGATATGCATTTTATCTAAAATTACATGTCTTTATGTTTATAACTATTTGAAGCTGAAAGTTTTTTATACAAATACATGTACATGTACAATATGTGTCCATACTAATTGACTAATATTCCTTACCTTTCAGATGTGAAAGTGTTAAGAAACATTGTGGATGTACTGACCCAATTGAAGTGATGGGGTACTTAAGGAAAGAAAAAGATACCTTCAAACCAACTTGACTGTCAGATGAATTATGAATTTTTTAATTCACCTTGTCAATTACAATGAAGACAACTTCAACTTGATGATTATTAAAGTACTGTCACTTTAAATATCGTTAGAAAAGCTTTATCGGGATGCTTACACATTTTATGTACATAAATATTTTTACTGAGAAGTTTGTTTTTAAAAGAGTTATTATTTACCCCACCCATCTCAAGGTGAAAAACCTAATGAGGATTCATCCATCTGAGAGTACAGACCCCGGATGTGTTTCAAAGCTATTTATACATGTAGTTCACCTCTAGCAAACGCTAAATAGCTTTTCTTTCTGAATAAGTTTTTTTTCAAAGTTTGAATGAACTGAAATATTTAATTCTATCATATGCATGATTAACTGTGTATGAAACTAATCCCCTTATTGTTATGAATCTTACTATAAAAATATCACCCCTCCCTTTCAGGCCCCTTGTCACACATGCACCTTACACTGAAAACAATGAAAGGAAGAAACAACATGACAGTCTATTCTGCTATATTGTCACATTCTGACATTTGATAGATGAACATGTATAAGATCCTGTATGTAGTAATTAAGGATGTAACAACACACAAGTGAAATTTTAAATCTGTTTATGATTATTCTTCTAAAATAATTTCCAAACATCCAAGAATATGTTAAATATGTTCTATAAATGTTTATTCGCATAAATGATTAATTATATGTAATTATTAAAATGTTTGCATTAATTTCTTATTGTTAAATTTAGGCTAAACTTTATCGAAAATAAATTTCTAATTACCTCCCTTTATTTACATGAAATGTAAATTCGGTAATATCTTTATAAATAATGCTTTTTTGAACTTACTCAAATTAAGATTTAACAATAATGATAAATCTTAATTTGAGTATCATATTTTTGATATAAAACCATAAAAAAATTGAGTTACAGGATCTTTTACATGGTGAACATATTAACGTGTAAAAATGATATGTGATTTAAAATTATGTGATGAAATAACAACATGATATAAGTTTGTGTATATATAACTTGTAACTGAGTTCAGTTTCTGTATTTTCCAGTGCTGATTATTGGCTATTACATAAACAGAATTTTCTTGCAACAACTTTAGCTCCATTCCTATGTTATTTTCATTGTACAATTTTTTATATATACATGAAAAAATCTAACCATTGAAAATAAATAGCTGTAAATCATGATTGTTGTTATAGATAGATAGATAGATTTATTTTGGCAAAAGGTACATGTTACATGATAAACAAACACAATATAGATTAAAACAATTACAAATAAATAAATAAATACTATATTATGTAAACCATGACGTGTTCCCAAAACCAAGGATAACACAAAAAAGAGCAAGCTCTTATTTCCATTGTGGTCCTTAGCATTTGGTGGCATGACAAAGAGAGGTATTTCATAAAAGAAAATAAAAATTTACTAATTATAAGAAAAATCACATTAATGAAGGATATCATTTAAAATTATCACAATTTAAAATGTAAAGTAATGTAATTCATTAAAAAGTCAGTATCACATCATTAAGAAATAATCATGTCGAATTAAGAAAAGATTACATTAAAAAATTATCACAGTATACAGCATGTACAGGATTATTGCGATTTATTATCACAGGGACTACTTAAAAGTAATTTGTTGGCTACCTTAAAACGATGAAATTTGTTAATTTCAGTCATACAAGTTGGAAGACTGTTCCAGAGTTCAGCACCAATAAAACTTAAAGACTGACCCAAAACCTTTAACCTTAGGAAGACAATACCCTCTCTTTTTACTCAGTCTGGTGCAATAAGAATGCATAGATTTCTGAGAAACAAAACAATCACTTAAGTACTTTGGGGCCATTTGGTTTTTAACCTTAAAAACATGACATAGCATAATTTGTTCAACTCTCTTACAAACTGGTAACCAATTAAGGGATTTAAAATGGGAAGGGCCAATATGAACTCTGTAATCAAGGTTTAGAACAAATCTCATCATTTTATTTTGTGTTGTCTGTAATTTATTTTGCAAGACCGGAGTTAAACCATAACCAGACACAGCAGGCATAGTCAAAGTGGCACTGAATTAAGGAATTGACAAGCAGTTTTTTGGAATGCTGTGTAAGGAAATCTTTCTTACGGTAAGGAAATCTTTCTTACGGTAAAGGAACTTTAACCTGGCGTTAGCCTTCTGAATAACTGAGTCTGCCATAGAACCAAAGGACAGGTACTGGTCAATAGTTACCCCAAGGTATTTGATGGATGTTGACGCTTCTATTGCAGTGCCGTTACAATTTATATTTTTTTTGGAATGTGACCTGAGTTTTTGTTTAGACACATACACAATGGAGTCAGTTTTACCCAAGTGCAACGATAACTTATTATCAATTAACCATTGACTTACTGAAGACAAGTCTTCAGATACAGAAATTTCCACCTCAGATAAACTTTTTCCAGAAACAAGTATTACAGAGTCATCAGCATATAACAACAGTCTATTTTGTTCATGCCTCAATGAATCACTTTTACTTCAAGGATATTTTATGTGTAACACTCAGTTCATGGATAGTTCATTAGTACCGCAGATTTTTCCCTATAAGGAGGTATTCCCAAAGATAACATGTACGTGTTTTGTTAAATAACAATCTTATGTATTTTCTTCAGTTCACATCCTAGTAATGGAAAGAGCATCGATACCCCCCAACCCGAGTATAAATCAGACTGCCGAGTGTTTTGATTTTCTTTCTCTTTTGTATCAGAGTCAAAAACAAAAACATGTTCCCAGTTGTCACAATATGAAACCCCAGAAAAAAGTAACAATGAATGAGAATCTTAATACGATAATTCTGTCGCTATCACTTTCTCTGCCGTCACAATAAGTAAACCCCAACCAAAATGAGCAAATCAATGGGTATGCTCTGGAGTGTGGGTAACTAATACCTGCACTCCACTTAACGCACTGTGTGCATGTATGTATACGATTTAACTATGACACATTTTCAACAGAAAGGTCCTCAAACTATGATACAAACTTTGTTACTGCACCGAACTTTACAATATTTAAGCTAGGACATATATATATTTTAAGAAATGTCCATACATTTTCAAATAAAATGTTAGATACATATTTTTTGTTAATTGTGTTGATGAGTTATCTACAAATATATAGAGTTGTAATAAAAAGTTTATTATACACAGGCACACATGTAAATGATGTATGAGTTCAGAGCATCGCAAAGATGCATTTTTGTCAGCTAGAGATACATATTACACAGGTTATGTGCTTACATATAAAATTCATTAATGGAAACACATGTGATAGACAACACAAAAAACATGAAAAATAACAGACAACTCACATAAAGCAAATAAAGCGATGAAAAAACAAAAGAGAAAACATCAAACGTGTGTAATTATGGTAAAATCTCTGCAGTGATCAAATACATACTTTTGTGAAAATCTAAGCTACATTTTTGTATGATAAGAAACATAATGTGTTATTAGAGGCATCAAGTTTCTACGATCTTTAAACCATTTTCTGTATCTGTGTTGTATCTATCCCAACAAAACTTGCAGTGTCGAGTAGATTTCTTGTCGTACAATCTTTTGGATGCTGCTGTCTCCATTTCTCTAACAAGGTAAAAATGATTTTCCACATGTTGTTTGGGTTCTTCTCGCGAACAACTTCTATTTCTTTGTAACACAAGCCAAGTTCCAACATCAAGAATGGATAGAGTGCACCAACACTATCAGCTGCAGCTATGAGATCACAGTTACTTCCCGGAGTGGAATCTAGCAATATTTTAGGAATATCTACAATTAGAAATTGGACATGGTTGATGTAAATTAATTAGTGTTGAATCTGTTGATTAATACATTTTGAAGTAACATCCGGCAGGTGAAATATTTATCATCTCATGATAAAATTGTAAACTGATATTATATAAGAAACCATCCTACCCCATCCTATATGACTTTATTTAGTGAGAGTATTTATTTAATTTTTGTTTGATAAGTAGCGAGATCAGTATCATATTTTAAATATATTATTGACTATTACTGGCATTGAAATCACATGCGAAAATAGTCTAATCTTCATATGTTGTCTCTATGTTTTCAAATGCACTTCCTCCATATATAAAATTCCTTAATGTACAATGTATCACTGTTTGATGAATGTCCTTAAATCATTAAAAAAAATCATGTACTGCCGTTATTTTGTTATTATAACTGCATAATAGATAAACGAGAGCTGTCATTAGTACAGCATACTCGTCTACATGGTCTAGTCTCCGTGCTTGAGGCAGGATAATGTAGGAATTCACAATGGGGAAGATTTTATGACAGAGGTATATATTATTTTTCAAGTTCACAAAATGCTATAATTCCATACATCCATGCAAATAGTCTTTAATCACGAACTACACTTACGATCCCGAAGACATGTGGGAAGTTTAATGTGAATGCATTCAATATGGATGAAGACTGATATTTACACAAACTTTTAATGAGAAATTTTCTAAGTTCAAAAAGGGCTATAATTCAGTCAAAATCTACGCTTAAAAGAGAACCACAAATATTATCTTAGAAGACATGTTTCAATTGGTTGTAGATATTCATCTTGCGCACAAAACAGTTGACAAGGAATTTATATATTTATATATATGAAGTTACACATGATGTTGCAAGGGCCAGAAGGACAGCTAATAGTCAAACCGTTTGTTTTTTCATTCGTCTTGTTGGACTTTAACACTGAATCTGACTCTTTCAAGCTTTACATGTAGCGGAGGACATCAGGTAACCCTTCTCTGAGCTAAAGAGGAGATAAACTGTAAATCAGGACACCGCAAGCGGGGGCCGCAATTAACTTTTTATTATTTCCAAAGGCAAGCATATTAGCTCGAGGAATGTTATTACATGTATAAGTGGGTAAATTCAAAGAAATCTTTTTGTACAAAATTTAATTAAAATGATTTACTTAATATTTCATTTTGATTTGACTGGAAAATATTGGAATTATTCAACAAGTCAGTATTGGCTTTATTGTTGTTTTGTCCAAGTATGCATCAGATTGTCCATTTAAAGTTATGGCAATATAAGCAACTTAAGCAAAATCCAATAACTTGACCTTGATAGTTTATGTCAAGGGGTTTTAAACTTTGGTCTTCTATCTATCTGTGTCTGAGAACTGCCAACCCCTCTTCTTGAATGTTTTGTACAAAGGATTGTTGTGTACCAAAACAATGGATTTAGAAATGATGCAAATATAATCGATGTTTCTGATCGGTATCGGCGGCTTGAAACAAGCATGACGAAATACGTGAACACGAATCAAACAAATCATTTGAAAGGAATGAGACCAGAGTGAAATATATACTTAAGCTTAAATATGTTTAAATGAAACAAACCATAATGTTTTCTCGCAGGATGCACTTCTACCTGGTTTTGGAGATATTCAAATTCATAATCTCCCTTGAGGCGATGTATCAAACCTTCAAGAGTTTCTGCTTCATTTCTTCCTCTCCAGCGGTTAAGAATGTATAGTCGTTGGCTGTTTTCGTCTAAATTACTATGCGCTGCCCAGTCAGCCTCAATGAGTGCAAAGGGTAACATGAGACGGGAAGCGAGACCGGTAGCATTCTCCTGATGCAAGTATCTCGACAGCCGTCCAAGGTCTTTGTCTGTTGGTTTCCTTTTTAAAACATCGGGTTTCTTCTGGAAGAAAGGGTTCAAGAAAGCGTATTTTAATGTAAAAATGTCGATGCAATTAATGTTACTTAAATTTCATCCCAAAGAAACATAAAGCAACAGGGTTATGATCCCTAGACCACTTATCTGACAGACTATAGCACTTCAGCTCACCCTGAGCATTAAAATGACAAATATTAGCTACATTCAACACATTTTGATTGGCATAGGCCTATAGGTTAGTTTAGGCGTGTTTGACTTCTTGACATGTGGATATATTTAATGCATATTAATCGTATACGTTCATGTAAATTTTCAAAATGCTCTGCAATAGATTGTTTTAAAATTAGCTGCACAAAATCTGCTTAAAATATCACGTGAATGTATTTGCTAACCAATCAATATATGTAGTACTATAGGGTAGGTAACATCTAATCAAACAAACCTTTTTAGATAATTTCTCGCCAAAGACTTCTTCAAACGCAACTGAATGCGTGCCATTTGCGTTGTAACACATTGCTTCACCATCATTTCTCAATGTAGAGACTGAAGCAAACGAATCTTTGTGTTTTGGACACGAGATTCTTATTTCGTAGTTTTTGTTTGTATGTCTGTACACACGAAATATTTGTTCAATCCTTTTCTCTACAATTTCAAGGATTTTGAAGATTTTGTCTGCTGTCAGTGTTTCCCTTGTAGAATAATTCAATAGATCAATGTATATGCGTGATTCTTTCCAATAGATTTCCATTTGATGCGTCTCTCTGCCAAGTTGAAAGCATGCATACAAATTGTAGATTTCCGGTGCATCAACATTTCTTTGGACAGGGTTCCATTCATCCAAAAGTCCACCGACAAGAATATGATAAAAAGTAGGCGGCATGTGGTTGTTTGGAAAAACTACCTGAAGATTTCTTTTCTTCTTACATTCTATTCTCAATTGGTTCACAGATCTATGTGGTAGTAAGCATGGCAATAAAAATCTTTCATCACCATTTTCTAATTGATACGGTCTGATAACAGACAGATGAATTAACATGTTTAACAATTTATCAACATTGTCTTTCATTTCCACATTTTCTGTCATCATTTTTGCCGTTTCAGTCACATAATTTCGATTGATTATGCCATTGTGATTGTACATTGAAGTATGCTGCTTCAGGCCTCTTTGGTCATCACTATCTCTACTCCTCATTAAGTTGTTGAGGAATTTTGCTAAAACATCAGGTTCCAGGATGATCAAATCCCTTAGATCGTCGTGTAGAAAATATATTAGATGCCCACGATTATGCTGATGACCTAGGAATGCTTCAAGCCTGGCATTGTCTTTCATTGGAACATCCATATCTTCATCGAGAACTTTAAGATCACTAAATGTCATTATAGCGGTCCCTCTAATCTTCTGTTCTTGAATTCTATGCTCTAAGTCAATCCATTGCGCTGGGATTTCTTCATCAATAACACCAAGGCCTAACTCTAGAATTCTGTTTTTCAAGGCGACAAGATCAGAGGTGTCTGGGTCTGCATTATTTATTGCTATACATTCTATCTCAGACATTTTCAAAATTTCTCGGACCTCATCAAATTTCTGACTAATGATTTTTTCGGGATCTCTATTTTTCTTAACTGCCTTCAGCTTCACTTTGTCAATATATGTACCGACGACGAGCACAGGAGCTCTCCCCCCTTTTATGTCCGATGTGAATGCTTTGATTGAAGATATCCAAAACATAAGTGATTCTGAAATGTTTATAATTGTTGAAACTTATACACAACATACTATTTTATTTTCAGCAAACAGCGCTGCTTACATTTAATGTATTTATATTAAGTATGTCTTTCTTCATATATACTATATACAGTAAGTACAATGTAATACATAAAATAATAGAAAAATACGGCGGACGTTCTTGATTATTAATAGTCAAAAATCGTGTTTTCTAACTTTTTCGATAAAGGAACTGTTGCAAGAAACGTTCAAAATCGGAATAACAGTGACTTTTGCTGGTACATGTACTTTCAATCCTGAAGTTATGAAAGTGTCACTTCTTTATAAATAAAGAATAAATAAAAAATGTTTATTTATGGCTATATTGACATGATGTTTTACATGTTTTATGTGCATATTTAAGATGTCTAAAAGTTGATTGTGATTGTATTTCATATTGTTTTGTACATGTATATACTGAGGCCCGCATTGAAGATCGGGAAACCGAATGCACCAGTCTCATTAAATAAAGTCGGTTCTTACTTTCTAACTTACATACTCATGATAGAAAATTATTTCATTTCAATAAAACAATGAAAATTTACCTGCTACGCTACAGTCTTTAATTATTCCTGTACGAAAGTTCAAACGGTCTGATATCTTTTTATTGAAGTCAACACTTAGATCAACAACGAGGACATAGACAGCTGACGGAGACATGAATACTTGGTGCGTTGAATAATATGTCGACTGACCAGCAAAGTCCAAGTATGAAATATACATTCGTTCACCTCTTGAATGATTTTTTTTGCGAAGAATTTTTTTCATATAATGAATTCTGGATTGTTCCTTATTTATTGCAAAAGAAGGGTCTTCCTTATAAATTTCAATATCTTCCTCAATATATGATCCAAACATATATTCAGCTGCATTTGCATCAAAATCCTCCTCTTTTATATCAGTAGATTTTGTCTCCTTGTTTCCTTCCAGTTCTGCTTGTACAAATTTCATCGCTTGTGCCATTCTTTGTACATTCAAATCATCTTCATATCCTTTAAAGAATATATTAATATGATTACATTCAATTTATATATACCTAGATTTGGTAATGGGAAAAAAGTTTTTTCTTCATTGTACAATGCTCATTTAAAGTACCTTTTAACAAAAACTGTCACAGGAGCTCGACTAATGAAATACTGGACTCAATAAAGAAGACTAAACTATGAAAGAAAATTCAATTATGATATAAATATATTTCTTCTTATGACAAGAAGTTATAATTGTCAACGTACATTCTTAGTTCAAAAGAGAATAATTCTGTAAATAGTCACACTAGATTTATGAACCTTGTCACACAACATGTGTGTAATAATAAGAATACTAACACTATCGGAAATTTTCCTATATAGACAAAGAAGGCCGGAAGCGTGCATTATTCTACAACAATGCACTCGCCGTTCTTATTATCTCCCTGTGTATTTTCACATTGAGAGCGCCATTTTGTTTAAAAAATCTGATAAATAAAAACAATTTTTTGTCGAACTTTGTTGTGAAAACTATCTAGAATGAAGGAAAATGGTCTAACTAAGAAAATGAATCCGAACACCAATATCTTTAATTCAGTCGTTAACGCTGTACATGCGTTTAAAGTGTTGTTTACGTGACGTCACAATGTAGCGCCAAACAGCACGTGCAAAACAATCAAATCAAGTACACTATTTTAATGTCGCAAACGAATAAAGTTTTACATTTATTTCACTTTTAATAATTTGTATTTCGCTTGAAAATAAAATAAACAAACAAAGTTTTATCAACCTTTTCAAAATTCGTTATTCTCAAAATGTTTTTCTACACACGGTAGATTTAACGACAGTTTTTTCAACCCACTGGAATAGCCTTTAAAGAACGTTTCTATTGGAAACTCTGAGGCGAAAACAAATTTAACCACCAAACATAAAGTCCAACTTTATAATAATAATTATATTTTTTCTTGACGTGTTAGAATGGAAATAGATATTAATTATTCGTGCATTATTGTATAATAATGCACGTTTTTCGTTCAAATGCTTTGTAATTAATCACTCAGGCCTATCGGCCTTCGTGATTATATTACTTCGCATTTGAACTCAAACCGTGCATTATTCTACAACAATGCACTCAGAATTGATATCTATTTCCTAAATATATAATTATTTGAAGTTTGAAGTAGATACCCTATAAAGTAAAGAAGTTTTAATATTTCTTAAAAAAAATTAAGTTAAAAGGGAGATAAATCTGAAAATATTGCTTCGAGAGTTATGAACCTTTTCACATAAGATCTGGTTGATGATAAGGAATAACAAGTTTAACAAGTTAACAAGATTTATTCTTATCAAACCAGAAGGTAAACGACCCATGTGGCAAAATGCACAGTACAATTACAAATATGGTAGATATAAGACCTGCATAAATAATGTTAACGAACATATTTCCGTTTCAGTTTACGTAACAGTAAACATACTTATTTAGCAAAAGGTTTTGAGTTTTGCATATTAAATAGTTTACATAGTTTACAAACATATAGCAACGAAACTGGGGACAGATATGAATATAAAATGTCCAAAATACATAGATAACTAAGTGATTGAAGCAGTTTACCGAAAATATAGCATATTACGATTTTAGTATTACTGATAACAATGATTCGCTGAATGAGTAAGATAATATAACATCTAGGAAGACCATATTTGTCAGCCTTGTCCGAAAAACGAAAGCGACAAGATTGACATATGGTAAAACAAAAACTTGCTTAACAATATCATGCATACACTGGATTAAAATATATATTTACTAATTTCATTTTACAATTACTTAAGATGCACAGTTGACAAAGTTTACTGCACGTTAATTACCTTAATTACGTTGAATGAAAATAGTGTTGTTCCTAACATTAAAAGCTTTATTCAATATAACATGCAAGACGTTTTATAATAGTATCATTATCAGAGTTCATAAGAGCAATAAATTTTATCATATTTGGGTGTCTCCAATAATATGGCGATATAAACTGCTTTCTTAGGTTAAAATATATATTACTGTAAGCGTATGTCAGGATGGGGAAAATAAATACAATTCTTATACAGTTTTCTAAGTTTATAACAAGTATTTCGGCAACAACAGTGTCTAGTGAGTTACAAATATTGGATTTAAATACATACAAACTTACAAGTTTGGATAACAATGTCGTTTGTAAGATGTTTACTGAATTTGAACTTTGGCGGTTTTACAACTTATTTACATTACTTGGAGGTCAAGACCGAAGTGACAACATTGGTTGGATTCCGACTTTTATAAGGTTCGATGTTTGAAATCCACCAATGAAACAACAGAAATCCGGAAATCCTCCAATGGACAGACGGCCGGATTTCTGAATCTGAAATCTTGGATTTCAATGGCGGCCATATTGAAATCTCATATAAAATCTACATACGAAAATCATTAATATACAGAAACATGTAGTGAATACTTAAGGATTTCTGACCTTAATCAATCATAAACTTTACATAAATTATGTTCTTGAATTGAATTTGACTGAAATTGATATTAACAATAAGAAATCTTCAATATAAAATATGAAGTGACAGATTTCAAAGATGTCTGGCATTGGACGTCTGCTACACAGAAAATGTAAAGAGAAAATCAGTTTTCTGCTATACAATAAGGTAAGTTTAACATTTCTATTAGCTAAATTGCAAAGTCAATAAGTGTCAATACAATGTTCCTTCAGATCAATCAGGTAAGTGAATCTTGTTATTGTAGAAGTCAACAAATTATGGAGCTATAGGATTTCACAATGTCACTTGGATTTCATTATAAGTTCTGTTGTAAGTACATTTCAGAATAATGCTAGAATGTCAGATCCTTACACACCCCCTCCCTAAGTCTTTAAAACTGATATTCCCTGAATTTTTTATACTGTCCGAAACTTCTGCTGTTCTGTAATTATTATTACTTTATGTGATTATAGTATATGAAAAGTTTATTTAATCAGATAATGTAAATGTCCTCAGTCTTATTGTAGTTTTTATGTCCTGCTTAATTATTTTATTCAATTCCTAGGTGTTGATTCTTCAGATGCGGAATTGTCAAGATTTTATTCAGATGCGAATTTTAACATCAGCAATTGTTTCAATATATCTTCAATTCTTTAGAGTGTGATGCTGCTTCAAGCTGATACATGTATGTGTCTTACCAAGTTTTGAATATTTCTTTAAGCTTCAAAGATGTTTCAAATAGTAACCTAGATGGATGATACTCGCGTGGTAGCGGTTTGTTTGGAAGCAATTAATATGTATATTTATAACATACAGCATACATTCATACACAATTACTTTAGATAGAATACTACATATCTCCTAGTCCATTTTAAAGCATTGAACAATTTTCTGATAGTCACCTTATTCTGGGTACTGTTTTTCTAACCCAATGTCTACCAGTCATTAAGTTTCCCATAGAATACAGCAGCTTCACATTATAGAATCACACACGTTAAGACCAGACTCTCATGGCCATTAACACACGTGACATCATCCTAATGAAGTCACAAAGGTCATCTTATCGTAATCCCTGGGTGATCAGGCCAGTATTACCGTGTCCCGCTTTCCATTCCTCCAAAATTAATTTTATCATCCGTGAAAGGTGTTGTTATCTATGGTCATTCTTAATACACTTTTAGCATAGTAGGTATTCTTTCTTTTGTTCTGCCCATCTGAGATATGCATGTATTAGGTTCACTGGCTACCATGCTTACTTTTCCAATTCTAGAAATATATATAGGTCACCTATTGAAGTGCAAGTTCCGTCACTTTTTTTTTTGTTTGATTACTGTAGTTTGTTCCATTCACTTGAGTGCATGACGAGTCATTTAAAGCAACACCAATTACTATTTGAAGAGAATTGTCTTTGTAATTAGATTAAAAATAATAAAACTGGCAACATAAAGTCTTTGTTTGGTACCTCTAAAATAACCCACATTGATGTTTGTACTTTTTCGGATACAATAACATAAAAAGCAGAACAATTATCTGAATGTGTACCTGTAAATTGTTGGATATTACCATCTAAAATATTAAGTCTCTGATTTTCTATATCAGTTGTTTTCACATTTTTTCATTAAAAGTCTTGGTCAATGATGCCTTGTTGATGTGAGTTTTGCTACTTGTAACCAAAAACACTTTCATATGTTTGTATAATGCTGACAGCATGATCTATAGTACTACAGTTTTTTTCGATGCACTTATACTGAAGCTCAGGACACAGGTTATTGTACAATTGATCTAAAGCCATTCGCTCCTGTGCATTGTAACTCAGATCAGAATATGCTTTGCGTGCAAGTTCGGAGAGAGCATCTGCAAAAGACGCAATGGATTCTGTTTGACCTCGTTTTCTTGCTTTCAGAGAAGATACCCACACTGGTTGATCATACTTGTTGGTAAATCTATTTCGCAAGGCCTCAACCAGGTTGCGATAGCTTGATTTAATGTCAGTAGGAAGTCTTGAAATAAACACTTGGGCTCTTCCCGTCAGACAGGACCTTAAGGCTAAATTCATGCTATGTAAGTCCCAGCATCCTAATTCAGCATTTATTTCAAAATGAACTATGAATTCTTCAAAATTTTCATCTCCACTAAATGATTTAAGTTTAATATTTGGTCCTCTTGGCAACATTTTTCTTGAAAGTCCATTATGTCTGTCATAGTGTTTCGTCCACTTTGATGGTCTACCCCTTGAAGGGGGACTTCGGTCTTGACCTGCGAGCGGTTCTTCATCATTTGTGTCATACTCATCCAATGGAGAATCAGCTCTTTCAGTTTCAATATGAGGATGTGGCTCTTCATCACCTTGCCTTTCATCATTCAAAGCTCTGTTGTTATTATTCTGACAAAATTCTATTTCAGAATCTGAAGAGTCTCCCATAATTTATGTTAATCCAATGTAAATACTGTTTAAATCCCTATTTACTGTTAGTCATAGATATACGAGTACAGTTTATTCAAGGAATAAAATAATGTTGTTGTCAGTTCATTTGTATGTTTCTCACAAAATAAAATTTTCTTCACCAGTTGAAATGTTATTTTTTTCTTATGGATGGATGGATGGATGAGATGCACTTGTCTGGTCCGTTTTATAGGATGGTAAATAATTTAGACCATCCCATTACTTCTGACACCATTGTAAACGTATGTCAGGATGGGGAAAATAAATACAATTCTTATACAGTTTTCTAAGTTTATAACAAGTATTTCGGCAACAACAGTGTCTAGTGAGTTACAAATATTGGATTTAAATACATACAAACTTACAAGTTTGGATAACAATGTCGTTTGTAAGATGTTTACTGAATTTGAACTTTGGCGGTTTTACAACTTATTTACATTACTTGGAGGTCAAGACCGAAGTGACAACATTGGTTGGATTCCGACTTTTATAAGGTTCGATGTTTGAAATCCACCAATGAAACAACAGAAATCCGGAAAATCTCCAATGGACAGACGGCCGGATTTCTGAATCTGAAATCTTGGATTTCAATGGCGGCCATATTGAAATCTCATATAAAATCTACATACGAAAATCATTAATATACAGAAACATGTAGTGAATACTTAAGGATTTCTGACCTTAATCAATCATAAACTTTACATAAATTATGTTCTTGAATTGAATTTGACTGAAATTGATATTAACAATAAAGAATCTTCAATATAAAATATGAAGTGACAGATTTCAAAGATGTCTGGCATTGGACGTCTGCTACACAGAAAATGTAAAGAGAAAATCAGTTTTCTGCTATACAATAAGGTAAGTTTAACATTTCTATTAGCTAAATTGCAAAGTCAATAAGTGTCAATACAATGTTCCTTCAGATCAATCAGGTAAGTGAATCTTGTTATTGTAGAAGTCAACAAATTATGGAGCTATAGGATTTCACAATGTCACTTGGATTTCATTATAAGTTCTGTTGTAAGTACATTTCAGAATAATGCTAGAATGTCAGATCCTTACATTACATTGTAAAACAAAGTGAAACTCGTCCTCTAAATTATTACATTCAGAACATTTGCGATCATCATAAGGGATAGCCCTTGGCTGGTGCCATCTACCTGTTTCAACATATAATCTGTGTGACGACATACGTAATCGTGACAAAGATATACGAAACTTTTTAAAATTTTAAACATTTAAGTACGGTTGAAAGCAAAAATTGCTAATGTTTCTAAAAAGATTGCTCTAGTGGAATTGTTTAGTTTATCATTCCATTTTTGAACAAACTGGTCTTTTATTCTTTGTTTGACATTTAACAAAAACAGATCAACATCACCAACTGTTTGAAATATCCATTCGTCTATGAAACCCAATTCACAAAAGTAAGTTTTTAACTAACGAACACCAATTTCTCCTATAAGGATTATAAAGAACATCATTATATAACATATTAAATGTATATACTTTTTTATAATATTTGTGATCTGACATATAAAAATTTTTTATCCAATATTTAATAATGTTATAAATTCTTATGTTTTGTAACGACATGCGACCTAATTCTCCATAAACAAAATCATTTTGAGTGGATTTCATAACACCCAATAAACGTTTACAAAATTGTGTGTGAACTCTCAATGTAAGCACCGGGGTGATATCCCCAGACCTCAGAACAATAATTAAAAGTAGGTAGGACTAACGTATCAAATAATTCTAATCTATGTTTTACAGATACATCAGTAAATTTTTATAAATATTTGTTCATTTTAAATATTGCCTTTAATCCTTGGCCAGCTAAGGTATTTTGTGCATCAGCAAAACAACCAGATGTCGTAAATACGATACCTAGATATACAAACGATAAACGATCTCAATGTTAATTTCACCATATTTTAACTGCAAATTTGCTCGAAGGCGCCCACCCTTTCTAAATATGAGTATTTTAGTCTTTGATGTATTTACTAACAACTTCCCTCTATTACAGTAATCATATAGTAAGTCTAAACTAGATTGCAAATCTGTTTCACTATCAGCAAATATAACAATATCATCTGCATATAAAATAAGGAACATTTTAAAGGTATCTACACTAAGGCCATCAAGGTTACTATGAAAGAAAATGTCTTAAATATCATTTAAGAAAATAGAAAATAAAAATGGGGATAGGCATTACCCTTGTCTCACACCTAAGATACATTCAAAACTTATCACTTAATTGATTTCAGTATTTTACCCTAGATTTAACACTTTGATACATCAAACGCATTATATTTAAAATATTTCCCCTAATACTTAATTTTATAAGTTTTGTCCAAATGCAGTCCTACTAACATAATCAAAAGCTTTTCTGAAGTCTATAAAAGCACAAAATAATTTTCTTCCACTATTTACGACATGATTAATAAGACCATGAAGTACAAAAACATTGTCTGTTGTACCCATTACTGTTCAAAACCCCGCTTAGGCCTCAATGTAAACTCCTTAATTTTCAGCCCATGTACACAGACGATTATTGCGTATCCTAGTAAATAATTTACCTAAAGTGCTTAAAAACGTAATCCCTCTATAGTTATAAACGTCATTTAATGAACCTTTCTTGTGAAAAGCCACTACAAAACCCTCAGACAAACTGTCTGGAAAATAACCTTACTCATAAATTCTATTGAACAGAGACAATGTAAAAGGCATTAATGTATCTTTACCATGTATAAAAATTTCGTTCATATATAAATCAGGACCTCCACTTTTATTTGAGTTTAATTGTTTAACTGATGTAATTAGCTCCTCTAAATTAAAAGGTACGTTGAATTCATCGAACATCAAACAGAAATCGTTATTTTCATAACGTTCCATAAAATGTATAATAAAAATTATCTTCATCTGGAACAAAAAATCTATCTTCAGGGTTATTAACAGATTTAAAATAGCGTTTAAAACATTCATAGGTACATTTGAATTACTAACTCCAGATTTTTCCTTATAAATTTGCATTTTTCAACCTAGCATTGACTAACAAATCTGTTTTTTTTTTGTTTATCATAATTAAATCTAGCTTTACGTATACAACATTTGTAATCAGAACGTTTGAAACAAGAATTTGCCTGTTTATATCAGTTTTATCTAATCTATACATATTTAAGGCATGGTAAAATAATTTTCTTTTATCATCACATTCAATGGTGTACCATTTGTTATAAGAAATTTCCCTTGCATTATTTCTAATACTACATTTAAATAAAGGCGACGCAACTCCGTCAATAATACATCCCAACTGGCTGATATATTTATCTATATCTGAATTACAATTTGCAATATCAACATTCAATTGAAAATTATTCAACTGTTCTAATGTACTACTTTCAGCTAATCTAGATTTATACAATTACGTGTTTTCCTTTTTCCACACATATTTAGTGCTAACAATTTCATAGATTTTGTCATTTCCATCAGTATATGGAGTATAATTTAAGTAGGGTCATTGAAAACAAAATCAAAATTGATCAGTGCATGACCAGACAATAAGTTAGGATCACTGATATTAGAATATTCAATATATTCAAATACGTTCGGTGTACTACACACATAATCAACAAGTGAATTTCTATTTGAAGTAACACAAGTAAATTTTCCAACATTTTTGTCATTACCAAAACGACCATTTAAAATTTTAATACCCGTTTGTTTGTATAAGTCTAAAAGCATAGTGACATAGTCATTTAAATGTCCCTTATCTTGTGATACTCGTGGTAAATAATTATCAATACAATATTCATCAGGTAATATATAAATATTAGAAAAATTATCATCTACAACAAAGTCTGCACTGTCAGATGTACGTGAGTTCATATCACCACAAAACACAATGTTTAAATTTCAATCATACTCTAATTCAACAAGCTTATCTAAAAGTCTATCATATGTGTGTGAATCCATTAATGGAGCCCTCGTACTATGTTTTGGGATAACATATAAAAGACAAATCAATAAATCATCTTCAAGACCCAACTTATCTTTACTTATCTTTATACAGACAATATTGTCATTACTGGTAAACACCATCATGTCACTTGTGACAAATGAATTACGTACGTAAACCATTACACCACCAGACGACCTATGCGCATTTGGGTGAGTATCAGTTCTATTTACAGAAAAAAGTTCAAAATGTTCAACGTTCTAGTTAAACATGCTATTTCCCCATGTTTCTGTAAGAAGCACCAAATCATTGGAACTAAACACTTGTTGTAACTCCAGTCAGTCTAATTTATTATATAAATATGTATTGGAAGTTTGAGGTAGATTCCTTTAAAACTAAAGATGTTATAGTATAAAAATATCATTTTAAAGTAAAAGATGTCAGTAAATGGGGAGAAAATTTTGTAATATTGGTGCTAGAGTTATGAACCTTGACACATAAGATGTGGTTAATGATAAGAATGATAGAAATAAAAACGTAACAGTAAAAATAATATTTTTTAAGGAAAATTCTAAGTTCAAGGGGGGGGGGGGGGGGGGGCTGAAAAATATTGGTGCTAGAGTTATGATCCTTGTCTGTCGCATAAGATGTGGTTGATGATAAGGAGCATATATTTGAAGTATGAAATAGAGAAAAACAGAATGCCTAAAGAAAGTCCAACACAACAAAATTGTAAATGTTGCAGGCTCGGTTTGATTGAGCCTGTTCATTGACGGTACTGGAAAGTGCAGGTTACCGTCCATGCCCCCTAGCACCGGCTTAAGCAGAATTCAACATTTAACACGAAAATGGTGACATTTTGAATTTAGAAACACCCGCAGATGTGTTCATACGGCGGTTACCATGGAACCTTCAATGTGATACAGGAGTGCCATTCTATGAAAAGCGGCGTATGGTCACCAAGTAAAAGAATGCTTTTGCCCTAAACGAGAAAACAATGGGCGGAACTAAATAAAAT